ACAGCAAAGTTATAATTTTTTTCTAAAAATTTATCGAACATTTGTATGGCAGCTATATGATATAGTCGTCCGATCCGGCCCGTTCCGACATATATAGCAGTGAGAGTATATAGAAGACTATATGCAAAGTTTCATTCAGATAGCTTTAAAACTGAGGGACTAGTTTGCGTAGAAACAGACAGACGGACAGACGGACAGACAGACAGACGGACAGACGGACAGACGGACAGACGGACAGGCAGACAGACGGACAGGCAGACAGACGGACATGGCTAGATCGACTCGGCTGTTGATGCTTATCAAGAATATATATACTTTATAGGGTCGGAAACGTCTCCTTCACTGCGTTGCAAACTTCTGACTGAAATTATAATACCCTGCAAGGGTATAAAAAAGGAAATACATAAAAGTTGTATGTTTATATATAGCATATAATAATTTGGTTTTAAAAAATTTAAAACCATCAAAAAATAAAGTTTTATCGTATTAAAAAAGTCTATATTTAAGATTTAAATATATAATATAATAAACATTATAAATTTAATGCTGAAAAACACACACGAAACCGAGCTCTATTACATTTTACCTATACTTATGCTTACTGTTTGACAGTTACAGTTTTACACTCGCAGCTTAAAATTTTGGTGTACTTCTACTGATCGTTTCTCTTTTGCAAAAAGTGCCGAAATTTCTACTAATTTTGTAAAAAATGAGTTAGATTAAGGTCGTTATTATAGTTTATACTATAATACACCATTACAACGCAAAAAAAAGTATTTTAGAGGGCGCAGGACCTCACTGCTCCATGAGAGAAAGGTATCAGATAACTTAGCCTAGAAAGAAGGGCAAAACATGTAAAGAGACTCCAAATCTTTCAAATTGTTCTTTTAAAATAGTTTATAAATCATAAAATATGAACCGAACCCAAAAAAAAACCGAGGTACGATTCGCAAAACCACAATTGTACAGGCTCGACGCGTACTTCGCTTCAGCAAAGCTCGTCCTTTTGCATCCTCTAGGGATATATGAGCGGGAATTGGCATGGGAATCAGTCATGGGACCATTCGCCGGGGACTTATTGAAAAAATTTTGAATTCGTGAAGTCCATGGAAGATGTCATTGCTTGGTTAAAGGCATATCAAGGCCAGATTTGAGTTCGTCAATAGCCACTTAAACTACCACTATTGAAATGGCGTAATATCCTTTGGACAAATGACTCCAAACTGGTTTTATTTCGTGGAATAGGACAAGACAATATGTCTGTCGACCTCCAAATACATAGTACCACCCAAACCATACGCTGAAGACAGTAAAGCACGGTGGCCTTAAATTCATGGTATGAGTATACTTTTCATGCAACGTTGTAAGTCCCGTATATATGATCAGTGGGATCAAAGACCATTATGTTTATGTCCAAATATTAAAAACTGTTTTGCAGCCGTATCCTGAAGAAAATATGCCATTAATTTGGATATTTCAGCAGTACAGTGACCATAATCATACCAGTAAGGTGGCCAAGGAGTCGGTTCTTAATGAAAAAGTGGATGCAATGCCATGGCCTGCCCAGTCCCCGGATATGAATCCGATCGAAAACTTATGGGGGACATCAAGGGCTATGTATTAAAGAAGTTTCCGACTTCTAACATGCAGCTTTGGTAATTTGTGCAGGAGGAATGAGGCCATATTCCCCTCAAGCGTTGCTAAGACTTGGTGGACTCCATGCCACCCAGGTATGAGGCTGTGATAGCTTCTAAATGCTATTTAACAAAATATTAGATCATAGTCAATTAGAATTTAAGAAGAAATAGGTTTCTTATATGATATTTTTAAATTTATGAAGAATTTTAGTTTGTTTACGCCAGGAGGCCCCTGCTCCCCCTCTGCTCACCGAGCGTTCAAAAGCTTAAGCGCTCCCAGCTCGGCTTTAGCTAAAAACAACAAAAAGAAGTGGTCTGATGAGTTGGGTAGCGCCAACGAAACGATCGTCACCACAGCTGCTACTTGTCTATTGACAAGTTCTCTTTGTTGTTTTTAGCTAAATCCGAGCCTTTGATTTTTATAAAATCGAAGCCGAAGTTAACTTCCTTTCTTGATAAAATTTTATGCCGATTTTTTTTTTTTAATTGGAAATCAAAACCGCGAATTTTGACTAAAAAATTTAGTTGTTTTATTAAATAAAAAATATAATAAAATTAAAAATTAAAAAAGCTCGACGTGAGTACCTGAAGAATTACCTAAAGAAGTATGTTCCAAATTTCAAACCGATTGGTTCAGTAGATTTTGAGTTATCGTGTACACCGATTTTTAAAATGACATTTTTCAGGAGAGCGCTTTAAACTTTGTGATTCTTATGCATAAGATAAGATCCATGCAATCATCAGTGGTCAGTTCCAAAAATGTACTGGCAAGCAGGGAGTCACTAGATAGCCTAAGCACGATTAAGTCAGTGAGGATCTACTGGGTTCCCAGCCACCAAGGCATAGACGGTAACGAAACCGCGGACGAACTTGCAAAGGAAGGCGTTGGACTGGCGAGTGAAAGAACAGAAAACGTCCCTATCTCCCTAAGAACGCTCCAAAGCGAGCTAGAGAGACGGGCTGACGCAAGCGCAAAAAGCAGGTGGAGGAGTAATTCCGCAACCTGCAGAATATCAAAAATCATGTGCAAAGAACACAAAGAGAAACGCACCCACTACGTGCTGCATCTTCCGCGGAAGAACTGCAGAATGTTAGTGGGTATTCTTACAGGTCACTGCCTGTCTGCTGCATATGCAGTCAAGCTGGGTATTACCGACAACGCCAAATGCCGGAAATGTGATGCATCCGAGGCAATCGAAACCTTGGAGCATCTCATTTGCAAATGTCCGGCCCTAACGAGGGCAAGACTGAGATACCTAGGCTCTCCAGTAGTGGCATCGCTAGAAGATGCTCCAGGAGAAAGCCAGGCGAACTCCTTGCCTTTGCGAAAAACACCTTGATATTCAAGGATCTCGAAACCCGCATAAATAGTCTCTAGGTCCATCCAGTTTCCCCGGATAGCTATGGGCCATATTAGCCTATGTGTAGCCCCTCGAGGGCCGTCCGGACTAACCTAACGTAACCTAATATTAATTTAACCAGAATGGCTGGATTCGTAATGATCCGATTTTAAACTCCAAGAGTATACAAACTTCGGCGTTCCCAAATTAGCTTTCTTTCTTGTTATACCCTTGCAGGGTATTATAATTTCCGTCAGAAGTTTGCAGCGCAGTGAAGGAGACCTTTCCGACCATATCAAGTATTATATATTCTTGATCAGCATCAACAGGCAAGTCGATCTAGCCATGTCCGTCTGTCCATGTGTCCGTCTGTCCATCTGTCTGTTTCGACGCAAACTACTCCCTCAGTTTTAAAGCTATCTGAATAAAACTTTGCATATAGTTTTCTCGCGGAACGGGCTATATCATATAGCTGCCATACAAATGTTCGATAAATTTTTAGAAAAAAAATTATAACTTTGCTGGTTTTCAATATTTTTGCATTTTTTAAATATGGCCATTTTATATTATTTCTGAATTTTGGTGAAAATTTTATGAAAATCGGACGACTATATGATATAGCTGCCATAGGAACGATCGGGAAATTAATAGGAAAAAAATTATTGCATGCCTTGTGCGGAGACCGATGTTCACACGTCGTGCTCTAGGCATTTTGGACTATAGGCAGAGCGGTTAATTTAACCTCTAATCCACATAATTACACAGTTCATCTTACCACCCTAAATACAAATGCTGGTTTCCAATTGCACTGATATGAAACGAATCACTTATTTTTCTCACAATTGAACACAATTTCGGTTTGTCATAAAATAAACTGAGTAGAGAATTATGGCATGCTATGTGTCAGTGTTGGCGCTTTATGCAAAAATGACTTTCCCGCTTTTCTGTTGCAATTTTTCCTGAATTTTCTTTACTGCAAATATCACAAATTCTGAGACCTTTCCAACGAATGCAAAACCGTGGAAATCGGTTCGTGCGTTCTGGAGTTATAGGATCCCCGCAGAAAACTCGACTTATTTTCATATAATAGATTTACAAAAATCAGAACCAAACTTTTTAAATCTCTTCTTATAGTTTTTGAAATAATCCAATTACAAACCACAAGGGTATAAGCATCGGTGTCTTGAAGTAAATTCCTTTTCTGGTTTATTTAAGGGGATCTTCTCATTGGGCAACTTTTTTTTTTTCGATTTTTTTTTTTTGTATTTATTTATAGTTTGGGATGGTGTGTATACCATATGTCCCCAAAATGATTTTTAGAAATTCGAAATACTTTAGAAGATACAGCCTTTTTTGTGAGGCAAGATCTATGCAAAATGAGCTTTTTCCAAACTTCAAACGCGTTTATCTCGAAACCACGTTTTTCGAACTGGCGGCCATGATATCTCCAGTTCAACTGAACCGATTTTCATGAAACAAAGTGGAATCGACGCAGAATTGTCACCATTTTCGGCTGACGGAACAGATTAAAAAAAAAAAAATTTTTTCTATTTTTTTTTTACACTAAACTACAAAAAAACGCCCGAATCGATTTTTTTTTTTTTTGAATGGCCGCCATTTTGTTTTAAAAATTAAAAAAAAAAAATCTGTTCCGTCAGACGAAAATGACATCTATTCTGATTATAACCCCGTTTTTATTTTTCATTTCGGACGCTCTGGAGACCCTGAATCGTGGCCGCCAGGACGACACCTTTTTTTTCGACCACCAAGTTTGAAGTCTCATTACTCTTTGAACAACCCTCGTATCGAGGCAAGAACAACTTTTTTAGCTACTTTGAACATTTTTGAATACAATAAATAAAAAAAGTTTTCAATTATTCTTTGCGTTTTCAAATAAGAATTTTTTTAAAAAGGGTCCAAAAAACGGATTTTGAATGAGAAGACCTCGTTAAGAGTTCGAGTTTAAGAGTTAGTTTCAGCGTAACATAACATAACATAAATTAAATATTTTTAAATTTTTTAGGAAGTGGTAATTGCTAACTCACTACTTGTTACCAGTGGTATGCTGAATCTGATGGGAAATTGTCCTAAAGAAGCTGCCCATCTCAGGAAAGAACTTTTGATTGCAGCGCGACATATATTTGCTACGGACTTACGTCAAAGTAAGTATAATGCTTTGTAAATTTAAGAATTTAGTTTTCCTCGTTAATATATATGTAAGATGAGTTGATAACTCAATTTAGCTTGTTCTTTATTATAGTAAGTTGTTAATATTAGGTGAGAGTGGGGATAGGTGAACCACTTTTTTTTATAAACATTATTATGACTGAACTATTCGACGTAAGGGTCTGCCTATATAGAAATCTTAAAGAGCCCACATTCCTTGTAATATTGAGTATTATGCAGTAATACTATCTTTTGTTTTGTAAAGTTTATTTGCTTTCCAAATTTTTGTCTCGAATGGGGATAGTTTAACCACCTATCAGGATAACACAAAAACTACAATTGTATAAAAAAAGTGTAATTTTTTTCTTTGTACATGCCTTCTTTCTGTTCGAATATAAACATTGCACCTTTACAGCATGAAATCAAACATTACAATATTGCTATTTATTCTTATTTTTGTTTTTATTCTTTCTTTTTTCGAAGGTTTTCTTGAGTTTTCTGATTGTGTTTTTCCGCGATCAATTCTTCTGCGGTGAGTCCGTAGCAATGATACTCCTTCCTCGTTTTCTTCCCCGAGGCGTCTGTTTTCGTGGTTTAGCCTTTGGGTACCCTCGTAAGTCCTCTGGCGATTTTTCTGGCAAGAACCCACGCATTCTGATCATCAACGGAACATCATACAGGTCAATATTGGGAGACATTGCGGACTCGACTGAGGTATTGTTCCTCGCAGGAGTGTTCAGGAGCACATTTTCATCTTGTACAATTGCCATTTGTTGAGAATTTTGATTGTGAGTGTTTTCTGTTATAATGTCTCTGTTAGCGTAATCACTCCCAAGAAAGTCAGATGCAGAAAACTTTTGTGGGTTGAAGGGAAAAATTCCACTATTTTCAAAACCTGATTTGATATTTTGTTTGTAGTTTCTCACCATTTTGGCAGCCTGCGATGGAAAGTATAGAAAATCAAATTTGGAAAGGTGGTTCATGTATCCCCACAAGTACTGGTTCATGTATCCCCACAAGTCATTAGCCAATTAGAAGTGATTTAAAGAAAACATGAAATATTTAAACTGCGTGAGCTATCCGTGGAAATATCATAATTTGCGTCCTCTTACGATAAAATAACATTTTATGAAGTTTAATGCCACTGGCGAAGCACGATAAAATTTTTCCAAGAAAACGTTAGGTCACAATTGAAGCTGCAAACGGCGAATACAAACTTCGATTAGCGATAAAAACAACAAGAATCGTTTGACGCGACTGTGCGTGGGTGTGAGGTTAGGATATCGAATAAGTAAGTAAGACACATATAGATGGCTCACAAAATCATGACAGAAGGTGAAATATTTGTAGTGGTTCATCTATCCCCATGGTTCACCTATTCCCACTCTCCCCTATATTTATTCTGATTTTTGCAAGTTTTTCAGCTTTTCTGTTTTTTTTTTTTCAGCTTTCATTTTGTTCTTTCGTCTCTCTCTGCTGACTCACTTTTCTCTACTCGCCTCCTAGTTTTTCCCTATGTCCCTTGTCACCCTCCTAGCTGTTAGCCTGCTGTGTTCCACTACGCATTTTTACATACAGCTGTGTTCAGTGAAATAGCAGTGCGACAGAGGAACAACTTTAAAACGTTTTTTTTTTTTTTATTCCTTTTTGTTAGTTGATCTATTGCACATTGTTTTTGTAAAATAGAACATAAAGATAAGAATCAAGAAAAAGTTCCGTTAGATTTCCTCTATTTTTATGTTTTATTAATATTTTATCAAATCGCAGTTTTTTATTTTCTTCCGCAAAAAGGGCGGAAATTTCTTTTAATTTTGTGAAAAATGAGTGGGTGCAGGACCTCACAGCTCAATGAGAGAAAGGGATGTGATTCTTTAGACTAGAAAGAAGGGCAAAACATGTAAAGAAACTCCCAGCCTTTCGAATTGTTCTTTTAAAATAGTTATCCCATAAAATATAAACCGAACCCAAAAAAACCAAGGTGGGACTCGCAAAACCCCAATTGTAGAGGCTCGACGCGTACTTCGCTTCAGCAAAGCTAGTCCTTTTGCATCCTCTAGGGATGCATGGGAATCAGTCAAGTGACCATCCGCCGGGTTAGGTTAGGTTAGTCCGGACGGCCCTCGAGGGACCGCACATAGGCTAATATGGCCCATAGCTTTCCGGGGAAGCTCCTGGATGGACCTAGAGACTATTTATGCGGGTTTCGAAATCCTTGAATATCAAGGTGTTTTTAGCAAAGGCAAGGAGTTCGCCTGGCTTCATCCTGGAGAGCCTAGGTATCTCAGTCTTGCCCTCGTGACATTTGCAAATGAGATGCTCCAAGGTTTCGATTGCCTCGGATTCATCACATTTCCGGCATTTGGCGTTGTCGGTAATACCCAGCTTGACTGCATATGCAGCAGACAGGCAGTGACCTGTAAGAATACCCACTAACATTCTGCAGTTCTTCCGCGGAAGATGCAGCACGTAGTGGGTGCGTTTCTCTTTGTGTTCTTTGCACATGATTTTTGATATTCTGCAGGTTGCGGAATTACTCCTCCACCTGCTTTTTACGCTTGCGTCAGCCCGTCTCTCTAGCTCGCTTTGGAGCGTTCTTAGGGAGATAGGGACGTTTTCTGTTCTTTCACTCGCCAGTCCAACGCCTTCCTTTGCAAGTTCGTCCGCGGTTTCGTTACCGTCTATGCCTTGGTGGCTGGGAACGCAGTAGATCCTCACTGACTTAGTCGTGCTTAGGCTATCTAGTGACTCCCTGCTTTCCAGTACATTTTTGGAACTGACCGCTGATGATTGCATGGATCTTATCGCCGCTTGACTGTCTTCGAACAAATTGACCGCCTCATGTGGACGGTTTATGCTCTACGCAAGCTCTTCTGCTCTCCTTATTGGGAATACTTTCGCCTGGAATATACTGCAGTACCTTGGTAGCTTATACGACAGTCTCATTTCAGAGTCTGAACAGTATATGCCCGCTCCAACTCCTCCTTCCATCTTGGAGCCGTTGGTGTATATATTAAGGTATTGAGCATGGACCTGGATTTATTTCCAGTCAATGGGTCCCACGAATACTGTTGTGTTTACATCAAGGCACGTTCTGGGTATCATGTAGTCAGATGTACTGCTCATATCTCGACCAATTGAACTGTGCCCGAAACCTTGTAGCGACAAATTTCCTGATGCAACCACACGTTGTGCCGCCTTTCCTGCTGTCAGTTGCGCTTGGATATCTAGGGGATATATACCAATTATGGTTTCGAGTGCTTTGGTAGAGGTTGACCTCAGCGCCCCTGATATGCAGAGCAGTGCCTGCCGCTGGGTTCTCTTTATAAGCTTATTATACGTTTTCTTCTCCGTGGCTTGCCACCACACTAAGACTCCATACAGCAGAGTCGGACGCACCACCGATATGTAGACCCAATGCATTAGAGCGGGTGAGTGGCCCCATGTGCTGCTAAGCATCTTTTTGGATGCATATAGCGCTATGGTGGCCTTTTTTATTCTCTCTACTACATTAACCTTCAGCTTGCTATCAAGTACAATGCCGAGGTATTTGACTTGTGTTTTCGGGGTCAGCCTGGTTTTGTTATTTTCGGGGGGATCCATTGCGGCATCTTGTATCTCTTGGTGAAGAGAATAAGGTCCGTCTTATCCGCATTGATATTGAGTCCTACCTTCTCCGCCCACTCACATATCTCCCTGAGCGTTGTTTCCATGATCGAGCTGAGGGTCGATGGACAGACTCCCGTGATAATTATGCTTATGTCATCCGCATAAGCTGTTGTCTTTGGTGCTTTCCTCTCGAATCTCTTGATTAGGTCGTCAACCACCAGATTCCATAGGAGGGGCGACAGAACCCCACCTTGCGGTGTGCCTCTGTGCGCTCCTCTCACCGTGGAAGCGATGCCCCAATCTGATTGTACCCGCCGGCAACTTAGAAGATTTCTTATCCACAAGTTGATAGCAGGGGACGAGTTGGTCGCTTCTAGGCGATCCATTATTGCGTCCGTGATAACGTTGTTGAATGCCCCGGATATGTCCACGAACACTCCAAATGCATATTTCTTATTGTTTAGGGCTCTCTCAATGGTGACTACCAACGAATGTAGTGCCGTCTCCACTGATTTCCCCTTCGTGTAGGCGTGCTGGTTGGTCGACAGTTGTCTCCCTACATCGTTCCTGATGTATAGGTCCAGCAGCTTTTCCAGCCTTTTAAGTAGGAATGAGGTGAGGCTTATCGGTCTGTAATCCTTGGGGCTCACGTGGCTGCACTTTCCTGCTTTGGACAGAAAGACAATCCGAGAGGTCCTCCATGGGATAGGGATATAGCCCGTTCTTAAGCAAGCTGTATATATTGCGTAGAGCCATGGGGTGATCATTTCCTTGGTCGCCTGCAGTATGGCTGAGAATATTCCATCTAGTCCTGGTGCTTTTATCCTCGCAAAGAAGTCTATAGCTCAGTGGATTTTACTAGAGGATATTAGATCTTTTGGGAGATGCTCTACTCCAGCTGCGATTTATTTGCATCGGGTACTTCAGTGCATCCTGGGAAATGCGCATGCATTAGTGCTGTTAGGGCCGCTTCGCTGCCCTCAGTCCACTGTCCGTCGTCGCGTTTGAGCTGACTCTGTATGGTTGGCTGCTTCGATAGCAGCTTCCGGAGTCTAGCCGTTTCCGGGGCAGTCTCTATATTGGAGCAGAAGTTTCTCCATGAGTTTCTCTCCGCCTTGCGCATATCTTTCTTGTAGTCCCTAAGTAGGACTTTGTATTCCTCATTGATGATGTCATCTTTCGCCTGCTTGGCGATTTTGAAGAATTCTTTGAGTTTGTTGCGTCTCAGTGAAAGGTTCTTATTCCACCAGGGTGGCTTGGTCCTCTTTCTCGTGTCCGATATAGGGCATGATGCGAGGTACGCATCCAGCAGTTCTTTGGAGATGGTCTCTAGGGACTTTTCTATGTCTTCCGCGGATTCAAATATGCCCGGAGAGATCGCGAGCCGTGT